TTTAAATTTTTTTTTATAGTTTTAAATTTAAATTTTTCAAATGTATTTTAATATATTTTTTATTTAAAATGTATAGATTTTTATAACAATTTAAAAATTAAATACTAAGCGCATATAAAATATTCGGATGTTTAATGCTGAGTCATCATCATATAAAATATTTCATATAAAATATTTAATGCTGATTCATCATTTTTTTGTTGACTAACCACTTTTTTGGATTGAAATTGACGTTGTTAACGGACGGATGTTTGATTTGGAAAACCAATTAAAAGTCTGGGTATTTATGTGAGAGTTATGAAAAGTTCAGGTATTTATATGACAATTATATAGTTCAGGCAGGGCCGTCTTAGAGCAAGTACAAATGGAGCATTTGTACAGGGCCCACAATTTGGGTGGGGCCCACATTTTTAAAAAAATTATTATATTTATAATTTACAACTATTATTTATTAAAAAAATTAAAATAACAAATTTTTTAAGTTTTGTTTAATTCACTTAAAAATATTTTTTTTACACTTTTTCAAATGAGGTAGGGCCCATTAAAAAATAAATTTTTTTATAAATTTATAATATTTAATATAAAATTAAAACTATTTTTTCCAAATCATTTATCGTAATAATCAATTAATAAATATTTTGAGTTATATGTAATCACCATATATTAAATTCATAATTTATTTCTATTAATATCATTAAATTTTTTAATTAATATAGTTTATAGTTATAATTTTTTTATAAATCTAAAATAAAATCTATATTATTCTAGAATAACATTGATTTTTTAACTCCAATTATTAAAAAATTATTTTTTATATCATATCATTTATTTTAAATATTTATTTTTAAAAATGATAAATCTTTAAAATATAATTTTTTATATCTTTTAATCATATATTATGATTATTTATTATTTCTAATAATATTATTATTATCATAATTATTGTTATTAATATTTTAATAATATTTATAAAAACATTATATTTATTTTTTTAAAATTAGAATTAAATTTTAAAATTAAAATAAATAAAATTTTTTTTGTACAGGGCCCCGAAAATGTTTGGGACGGCTCTGAGTTCAGGTATTTATGTGGAATTTTTGTAAAAGTTCGGGTATTTTTATGCGATTACCCCTTTATTTTATATATTTTTTTCTCAATTTCTTTTAATTGGCAAACGTATCAATGTTTGTTTGCATTTGTTTTTTGGAAATGTCGCTTTACGTCAACGTTTGCATGGACCACCATATTACGTGCCTTTGATCTGTCTATGATTTGAGTAGGTTAAGCGAAACAGTTGAATCGTACCATAAAAAAGTTCAAGTTGTATTATTGTGATGGCCCAACATATACAATAAATGCGTGTATATATATATATATATATAATTATGTGTGTCCAATCTAAACACGTTTCCAATGTTTTTTTTATGGAAAAAATATTCCAACAAATACGATTCTTTTGTAAAACAACAACAACAACAAAAAATAATAATAATAATAATAATAATAATAATAATAATAATAATAATAATAATAATAATAATAATAAAAACAACTTGCAAAGTGATAGAAATGTCTAGAGGTGGTTGCCAAATGGCCATGTAGAACCACGATGCCTCATTTGACACTCCAAAACTCTCTCTAGTGGATGTTGAGCATTTAACTTTGGATATTGTTGCTGTGCCAATTTTCTTTATTATTTTAATTTTAATATATATTAAAATTTTAATTTATTTTTAAAAAAAATAATAAAATGATCATAGCTTGAAACAAACGAAAAAACAAGAAATATAACAATATTGTCGATTATAAATAATAATAAATCAATGGATTTAGAAATATATCCAATGCTGAATTCAAATTATAAAATAGTGAATAATAATATATTCAGAACAATATATGCACCATAAAATAAAAATTTTATTTCTTATCAGTTTATAATTTATTTTTACCATATTTTAAACATAATTCAATTTTCTCATCTATTAAATACCATCTGGAAATTTTTCTTTAAAAATATATTAAAATTAAAATATAGGTAGTAAAAATCCAAAAATAATTATAAAAGTATAATAATATAAAAAAATATAATTTAATTAAAATAAATAACTAAAAATGATAATAAGTAAAATAGAATGAATGATATATATATATATATATATATATATAAGATAATATTTTTTTAGTATTATATTTATTTATTTTTGTTAAAACAACTTATTAAAACTAATGTTGTATGGTACATTATGATTTTAAAATATTTTTTAATCTAAAAATACAGAAATAAATATAAAATTTAAGTTTTTAGAAAGTTATTAAATAATAAAAATTTAAAAAGAAATAATGAGTAAAAAATAATTTAAAATATCATTATGAAAAATTAACTAAAAATAAAAATTGATAAAACAAAATGAAAAATTTTCTAAGGTTTAAAAATTGAAAGTTTAATAAGATAAATTAAAATAATTGAATAAATATCAAATAAGAATTTATTAAAATAAATGAGATGAATACATTAAAATAAATTTTAAGTAAAAAATTAAAAGCAAAAAATTAATATATAAAAGTGAAAAACTTGTATAAAGAAACTACTAAATTTAGAATAAAAATATAAATTTAATTATATAATGTATAATAGAAATAAATAGATAAAAAATAAAGAAAGATATCAGAAATCATAAAAGTATAACTTCCATACAATAAAGTTTTTTAATATTTGAGTTTTTGAGTCTTTTATTTATTGTAAAACGAATATAGAAATCGGATGCTTGCTTTTATAATTTTGGGAATAAAAAAGTTGTACCTCACGGTGGACAGCTAAAACATAAATTAATTTGGTTCGACGTCTTAATCCAACACGCAATCCGCCCTACTCTATTAAAAAGTCGGCTGCATGTGTCACCCACAAACACACACATGACATGTCACATGTGTATGTGTGCGTATAAAAGGAATAGGATAAAATAGAGAAGTGGGCCCATGGGAATATGACAAAAGAGATAAGTGGGTCCACCATGGGTTTATATATATAAAATGAATATGATAAAAGAAACCGGGAATATGATCAAATTAGAGAAGGGGGGGCTACGGGTTCATGCACAAATGTACGTGTATGTATATATATATATATATGGAATATGATAGAGAGGTGGGGCCATAGGTTTATGAACATTGCGTTTGAGGCTTCACATGCACTCGTCAATGTCGTCATTGATTCCATTGGATCCAACTGCTCCCTCTCTCTTAAAAAAATGTTTGATCTTTTAGATACTTATCCGGTGGTTATCCGAGTGGAGTCTGTGTAATAAAATAATAATAATAAGGGATCGGTTTTAGGAATATTAGGTTAGTGATGCTGACTATTTCTGATTATCATTTCGTGCAAGTCGACATTTACTTTCATTAAACTATATATTATATATGGTGATAACAAATTAAGTAGTTAAAAATATAATGGAGCTCTCTCTCGAGATTTCATCTTTTATAACGTGTGTACGAATCTGCGTACCAAATTAAATAAGCCGAAGCCAATATAGAAGAACCCCTTCACCGCTATGAATACTCGAGCGTAAAATCTATATGTATATATAGTAAGTACACTACTATTAATTTTTGTGGTTGGGGTTGTTGATAGACACCATCGTTACATAAATTATTTTTTTTGTTAACCAAATTGGTTTATTAGACTTTCGATCTAACCACATATACCCTGAACCGAAAGACAATCTTGCTACAATTAAATGTATTTTTTTTCTCTAACAGCCACTGGGACAAGGGCAACACATTTTTTTTGGGCGGAATTCAAGTCAAAATCTATAGATATACGGATTTTAAATCGTAATATTCGGAAGAGATTTCAGTTTATATTTATGTTATATGGCATGGGGCTTGTGGCTGCCTAATAAGTTGATGTGGGGCCATGAGTTAGGACCACTGGGCAACAACTAGAAACTTGCCTAAGAGGAATGTGATTGGGAGTGAACCAATTGGGATAAAGATGAACTGCTTGAGATCCGTATGTAAACTAACTTCCTCACAAGACCGGATTTTTTCTTCTTTCTATACATTGTTTTTGCATCCATATGCGATGAACTTTCTCTCCTGTTTTTATTTATTTATTTATTTATTTATTTTTTGTTATTTTATTTTACTTTCTTGTCCTTACGTGACATCGACTTGCACGAGGCGCTTTGAAAATTTTGGTCTATAAATGATAAAGATATGAAAAAAAGAAAAGAAAATGAAAGACACCATGATCAGAACCGTAGAACGGAGGATCCATTGACTAGCTATTTAGTTTGACCACAACTCATACTTCATATTATATTTTAGAATCCGAATTCATGATTTTATTAATTGATATGCGACGGAAATCATCACACATCAATTGATATGATTTTCATAATTTACAAATCATAAATTAGTTACAAAACGAGAAAAGTATCTGACTCGCATATCCAAAAACTTGAAAAAAAAATGAGTAGATCACGAAGCCATCGCAAGTCGACCAGAAAAATACAAAGACCGGAGAAGAAAAACTTGTACATCGGCGACAGATTTTCGGGAAAAAAAAATAGTTATGAGGGCCCAGAAAAAGAAACAATAGGTTCTAACAAGGGGTGGGTGATTCGGTTCCATGTATGGAATGGAACCCCGATATAATCTAAACCGATCTGAAATCAATCGATAAAACCGTGACTCAGTTCAGGAATTATCAAAAATATTCTTACTTAGGACTTCAGATCATATCATTCATTGGGAATAAATGAGAGAAAACGTAAAAGATGAAAAGTTTTAGTAGTATTAATTAGACCACTGACCATGCACAACTAACATCAAGAACACGCGCCCACAGAGACAATACTCTCGAGAAGAAATCAAGTGGGGTTAAACCTCTCCCTTTAACAAGCCATTTTTCACGTGTGCAAATAAGTATGACCCATTTGGGTCTTTCACACCCCATGCAGGAAAAAAAAAAACGTTATATAAAGCGAACCACCTCACGGAAACTAAATCCACACAACCAAAAAAAAAAAATCTATATTTACCCAAAAATAAAATAAAAAAGAAGGAAAGAACAAGTACATACCAAAGACAATGGCGGCCTCTAGCATGACGGCAATCCCTGCTTCCGCAGGTTGTCATAAGATCGAGCTAATGAAGGAAGGAGGCCTAGAGGGCAACGACAAGTACGTAAGCGGAGGAGGAGAGGAAGAAGAAGAAGGGTTGAGTTCCGAGTGCAGAGAGTTATTGGATTCACTTCCCAGAGAGAGAGGATGGAGAACTCGATATCTTTACCTGTTTCAAGAGTTTTGGTGCCAAGCCAAGGAGATTCAATCTATAATGTCCTTTCAGAAACATTTCAAATCAGTGGACGGTGATATCATAATCGCAACCATACCTAAATCTGGAACCACCTGGTTGAAGGCCTTGACGTTTGCTCTTGTTAACCGTCACAGCTTCCCGGTCTCGTCGAGTGGCCATCCTCTTCTCACTTCAAATCCTCATGATCTCATACCTTTCTTTGAGTACAAGCTTTATGCAAACCACCGTTATATCCCCCACCTCTCCCATATTCCAAGCCCGAGAACTTTTGCCACCCACGTTCCTTTCGGTTCCCTGAAAGATTCAATCAAGAACTCCAATGTTAAAGTCGTGTACCTTTGTCGGAACCCGTTCGACACATTTGTCTCTTCTTGGCATTATGTCAACAACATAAAATCTGAATCTACAAGCCCGATTTCGCTAGACGAAGGTTTTGATTTGTATTGCAGGGGAGTCATTGGGTTTGGCCCCTTCTGGGAGCACATGTTGGGATACTGGAAAGAGAGCTTGGAGCGACCAGACAGACTGTTGTTTTTGCAATACGAGGACATGAAGGAAGACATAGAGTCAAACTTGAAGAAGCTGGCTGATTTCTTGGGACTCCCTTTCACAGAAGAAGAGGAAAAACAAGGTGTTGCAAGGGAGATTGCAAAGTTGTGCAGCTTTGACAATCTGAGGAACTTGGAAGTCAACAAATCCAGCAAATCCATCAAGAACTTCGAGAACAGGTTCTTGTTTAGGAAAGGTCAAGTGTCTGACTGGATGAACTATCTTCGCCCTTCTCAGGCGGAGAGATTATCCAAATTAGTGGATGAGAAGTTAGGAGACTCTGGCCTCGCTTTCAAGTGCAATTGACAGAGAAATCTATCAGAAGCAGGTCACATAACATTTCCACTTCATCTGATAGAGGTGAATTGTTGAGACCAAATCTATCAAAGAGGGCTGTTATTGTTTCCAAGCATCTTTTTCTTCTGTACTTCATGCACGATTTATGTAACTATCCGTGTTGCTAATTCCTTCATGCATTAGTGAAATACACATCCTACCTTATTTCATGAGAAAAATGTTTCCTGTTCTAAATCTCTGCGTGTCCGCTTAGCTACAAGAGTTTACCATAAACCCGAATGACAACACATGCAATCAAGAAAATACAAGGACATCAGAAAATAACTCCAAAGGATTTCACGACATGCCGGTGTTGGCCGGGAAACACTAAAAGACTCCCTACGCCAACGATATTAAGCAAGATGTAAAATTGAAGCCTTAACCATTCCGTTCGATTTCTCCAAAAGTCTTAATGAAGCAACTAAAGCCTACTAGATGTTGTCCAAGGTGGGCAGAACAAGTGGTAAAGTGGGGCAATTAAAAGCCATACGGTCACGAGTTCGGAGCTTGGACAATTCACCAATATCAAAAACAAAAAAGAAGCCTACTAGATGCTGTGTTATCCATGCCACTTGTTCTAGAAAAAGAAAAACTATTAGCCACTTGCGGCAAAAACTGAGTCAGCCATTTTCATCCGATCGTCAACCAACTTAAAGAAAACAAGCAGCTAAAATCTTCTAGATTTTGTATTATCCATGAAGCCACAGACAGTGATATCGGGTTTCTGTTCCTTTTTTGAAACAATATCATTTCGAGCCTTTCACCTCGCACAAACAATTTTCTCTCCACCTCTCTAACCCTGGCAGTTTTTTAGTGGCCAAGAATATACTTCTTCCATAACAGCAACAGCAATCCACTTGCAAAGCTTCGCATTCACGGAACAGAGAGCTTAGATCCGAATCAGAACAAAAGTCGTGGCAACAAATCACAAAACCGGAAGCCTAAACTAAGCACACGACAAACTCCGAAATCATAAGGAATCATTCCTTCCTTACAGTATAGAAATCGATCAAAGAAATCCTAAAACAAACGACGATTCTTACTGCTAAACCAAACAACAGTAAACAACTTCAAACTCGGCAAAAAAAAACCTCGCTAGGATCAGATACAAAAACGGAGAATCAAGACACGAACACAGGAAAGCAAAGGAGAGAAAACCTTAACAGCATCATGGAGAGACTCTCGAACCGTCATTTCGCCCTTTTCGTCGTCCTTGATCGGAGCGCGAACGAATGACTGTCGCGGAGTGAAACTGAAACTGATGCCGAAAGGGAAAAAAAAAGAAAAAATTGGTTTTCCGTAGGGATTTTTTACATTTAGGCCCACTACGGAGAATGGGTCAAACATATGGGCTTTCTTTATTTTAGAGAAGGCCCAATTTATAGGCCTTCGTCAAAAAGTGGGCCCGAGTATCTTGCCGGCTAACCGGAACAAAGTAAACCGTGAAAATAGCATCGTCTATAATTTTAAACTAATAAAATAGTATACGTTTTAAACATTTTTTTTATGAAATTGTGTTTAATATAACAACGAAAATGTGTACCGTTTTACTAAGATATACATGGTTTAGTGCTTAAATTTTAGATTAGATTTTTTCTGATTGAAAATGTTGTAGTTTTACAAATATTATTTTCAATACCCTTGTATATATCATTTCACTATTTTTTTCCCTAAACTTATATCCGAAATCATATATAGTAAAAATATCAATTAGTAATGATTATCAATGTTGGTTATAATATTTTCACAATCGCTGAACACAAATATTCGTTGACAATGGATTGAGACAATATTTTACATCCTAAAAGCTGAATTATCCGAATCTATAATGGGATAACTCTAAATTTTGAAATTAAATGTTCCATTTGCTTATATGCTAAGGCCCCAACCCCCAAAACATTCGCATACTTATAAATATTCAGGTTTACATAATAAATTTCAGATTAATTACGAAATCAAAAGCTTATTTTTTTTTTATTATAAAAAATTGTATCTAAATCCGAACGAAGAAGATGCTGAGCTCAGGCCCACCATTCCCGTCAGGGTTCATCATGTAATACGTCTCTGAATCTCTCGACCCAATCACCCTCTCGAAAGGTGCCCTCATGTACGTCAGATCTCCCTCCGCCGCCGCCGCTCCGCCACCCTGCTCCGCCGCACCTCCGACGCAGCTGTTCACCGGCAAAACTCCGGCGCCCATCGACCCCGCGTGGAGCATCTGCATCACCAACAGATCCTCGTCCGTGGACTGTCTCTTCACGCCGTAACCTGATTTCCGACCATTGCAGTACAGTGTCCAAATGGGTTCGTCGATGATTTTGATCTTCGCGCTGGGTTTTTTCTCGCACTCCAACGCGATTCTCACCAGACCCACCCCCAGATCCTGTAGCAATTTCCCCGTCGGGATCGATAGTTCCAGCAGCAGAATCGGCAGCGAACGCGGGTTCTCCTGAATCGCGATGTTAACACGCGTTTTCCGGTACCCAAACAGCGTTCCCGTAACGCGGGTACCGCCGTGAACGTGGTTCTCGTGGAGACGCGTTCCTCCGCCGACGGGGAATTTACACATCGGCGTTATGATCGGAAGTGACCGGAAAACTGACCTGACGCGGCGGAGGAGCTTTGTCGATTTAGAGCCGCCGCTGGATTTGTTCTTCCCCGACGGCTGCTCTAGCGTAATCGCCGGCCGCGACGCAGACGCAGACGCTTTTTTGGAAGTCGGGCTTCCGAGCGGTGAGATCGTTGTAGGCGTTATCCTCGGCGTTAGCGGTGGTGTTGTCATTTCATGCAACTGAGAAATAATCCTCGACAAATACAAATGAAATGTAACGCAACAAATTTTATACATGAAATGATTAATGGTACGCACGATGAGTCGAATATATATTTGTTTAATATATGCAAACGTGAGTCTACTGTCTACAGTTTACATATATATAATATATATCTGTTCAGGTCGCCGGTTTAAGTTCATGGTGCGCTTACGTGGATTAATTTAAATTTAAGATGGATTTAAATTAATTTAGTAAAGCTATAGCTCATTAGCTCTGACTATTTCTCGGCAATGCTGTTCCGAAGGTTGTTTCCCACTTCGATCGGGAAATAGTTTCAATTTTCTTCCTTAATTTTTTTTAAATTATTATTTTCACTTTTCTATTTATTTTCAAATTTTACACATTATAATCTGTTATTTTCTATAATAATAAGATGGTCATAACGAAAAATATTTAGAAATTTACCTGTTTTTAGACTTCATTCAAATTACAAAAAATAACTGTTTATTTTTCAAAAAAAAAAAAAAACCCATCAAAGGCATGTTAGTGATGGAAGAAGGGATTCCACCAAGACAAGATCCTAATCTGAAGCTTGGAACATCATTGCACATATATATATAATATATAGATATATATATACACAAAACATAAAAGACGCATTCAATATCATTTGCTTCAGAGACCATGATGATTGTTTGTTCCAGATGCATCTTTACAGGATCTGTTCCGGTCCCTGGCTGGTTTCAGTAACGCGTTCTCCGTTTAGAGCTGCCTTCTGATCCTTTTTCGGGCAGGGGAAACATTTCTATGTTGGATTCCATCTTGTTGAATGTGAGGTTCGCAATGGCCCGATCGATCGAGTTCGTTTCCGATTCAGTCCCATGTTGTCTCCTTGACCTGCGACCAAACACAAGATTACGTTTCTTGTCCATCATTACGACTTCTTCACGCAAATTGGGCATCAAGGAAAAAAAAATCAAGATCCAGCAAGAAAAGCTTTGGAACAGACGATTCTGTACCTGATTCTATCGCTCTGATCACCGCCGTGTGAGCCACGAGCTTGCGCGGGACGGTGGTCTTCTGGGTCATGTACCGAGTTCTTGGCGAGACGGTAAAAGGTGTCGCGGAAGCATTTCCTCGTCTCGTCAGTCAACTATTACCGAAACATCGACCATTGTAAGTTTTTGTTATGAAGTAAACCTTGGTCATTTGTTGCTGGTAATCCGCATTCTCTAACCTTTTCGGTAGCCCTTTGTAGATCGTGTAGGACTTCTTCTTCCATCGATGCCTCAACCTCCGAGTATTCATTCGACCTGTCCCCCTCGGATAGGTCCAAGACCGTGAACGGCCGCTGCCCCTTGAACCAAAAGACAAAAGTGCAGAATTGTATAACGTAAGTCCACATACAAAATGTTAAGAATGATCCAAATGGGTTGCAGAGGCAACTATGAAACCAATAGTATGTGTGTATATAGATCAAGATTCTCTTTCAAGAATAAGAGCTTACCTTCAAAGGCATGTCATGGCAAGGTCCAGAGCTGCAGGGGGCAAAAGGGGACATGGGAACATCACAGCTAAGACTGTCAACAAACGTAGAAGAATCGACGTAATCATTCGACGGCTTCAGACAACCGAGCCCCGAGGACGGATCACGGCTCCAGTTCCCTGGAACATCCTCCAAAATGGAACTTCTTCAGTCAAACCGGAAACAAAAACATGAGAGAAAACAGTTACATCTGAAACATAAGACTAATGCCAAATATCCCGACCAATGCCAATTATCCTACATGATGGTAAATCAAATAACTGAAAGAACGTGGCTGTACAGGAATATATCATCCATTTGTTGGATTCCGTCGAAATCATGAAGCTGCCGATGATCGTCCTTCGTTTCACTGCAGAGATCAGCGTATATATTCAACTTCTTCGACTCTTGGATTGACCTTGTCTCCATCTGACTGTATAACCCGCCGCTGAACCCATGGTTCATTGCGTCATAGTGATCCATGATGAAGCATTTCTCGGGAGCTTCTGGAATGTTCATGGCCCATCCACCCCAAAAATCTGGAGCTGCGAACGCGTCCGATGATTCTTGACACTTTGGCACAACAAAATCATCAAAACTCCTCCCTAGATACCCATCCATTACGACTCAGCTGAAGAAATCAAGGTATTATTGTCAGAAACTACGAGAAACACACAAATACCAGGATTCAGACACAACTTCAACACACAAACCTTACAGGAAACAGTCACAGATATCGAAATTGCTACTGTAGAAATGATTTGAAACGACCCTTTACATAGATACATCAAGTTTCAGAAAAGCTAGATGCAACAGATGAACACTTGAGGAAACAGGGAATCTCAAAGAAAAAAGACCCATCTTCGGAACAAGAACACCTTCAAGATTGAACTAACAGTTCCGAAGAATCATCAGATTAGAGAAAAGCTATGGACAACTGGAGATCCCTCGCCACAAATCAAAGAATCTGAAGAAACGAATCTACTGAACTTCGACGAAACGAAAGAAAAAAAGGGATTAAACCCTGAAGGAAAAAAACCCTCACCTTGCAACGAATCAAAGACAAGAACTCGACCAGACCCAAATCACAAACTCGATCGAACGACAAGACCCAGATGAACAAAAATCCTTGGGTCAATCAGCGAAGGATATGAAAATGGTCTCTTCACCTGAAAGCAAAAGTTGAGAGGCGGCTGAGCGTGTGTGTGTGTGTTTTGTTATGTGTTCATTGTTTATTGCTCTGTAGTAGTAAGAGAGACGGCAACTTGCAGGAGGCACGCGCGTGGAGAGCGCGTGATCAACTTTTCAACTTATTTCGTGGCCCAGATTTCATCGATGAGATTCGTGGTCTATATCTCTCCTCCATCTAAACCGCCTTTCTCATTGGTCCACGTGTAAATCATATCTTTTATCCCATAGTCGGTTTCCCGGAAAAAAATTAATTTTTTTGGCACTTTCTGTAATTCCGAAAATACCCCGGCAAGCGATCGATGATTGAAGAACCGGTTGGTCGTCTGGGAATTGACACGTGGGCAAGTGGGCCGATCTCGTGTTTACACGTGTCGGCTACTATGTGGAGTGATCAGACACGTGGTTTCTGTTAAGCGGTGGAGTGAAACAGTAAATTTATTAGGGTGAAGGTCAAAACTGGAAAATACAGTATACTTCCCTTGGGCCCTATAAGCCCAAGGCCCAAAATCTAGAATTGGACCAGATCAAGTCTCTCTTTCATGAAAAAAATGGTAACAGTGTACTCTTATTCCCCTGACCAAACAAGCCCGTAAAATAGTTCCCCATTTAAAACGGGATCAAACCAATACGTCGCCGGGCGTTACGCCGTCACGGTAACACAAACGCCGTCAACGCCAGGGAACATCCGATTTATTAACCCTCACAACAATTTATCCATTTTTTTTCGGAAAAAATATAAATAGTCTGAATCTCTATTTAAATAATGTATTCAAAAGTTTTTTCGTAAACATTATTTTTATCTACTATTTTTCGAATTCTTTTAAAATGTATTCGATTTTTCCAAGTTTCAAATAGGAAAATAGGAAGACATTAAATAAAAACTCAAAATTTAAATTTAGAGAAATCGGATGGATTTATGAAATTAAAAATGGAAATAATTCAAAGAAATGTAAAGATCGGGATTTATTTCTCTACTTTCCAAGTGTTTTATTCAGGTAACGACAGTGAGAGAGTTTTGGCGGTAAACACGGGGTCTTAATGTATTACGTGGCGGTTTCTCATTGGCTGATGATGTTTATTATATATATCGCCACACATGTGCGAGCCTCGTGCGTGTTGTTTTCCCGCGCGAGACAATCCCTCTCACAAAAAAGGGTCCCAAAGCTAGAGAGAGAAAGAGAAACAGACAGACGTTGAGAGAGAGAGAGAGAGAGTGGATGAACACAGGATAAGAGGGAAGATTTTAGGGTTTTGCGTGGAAACGTCTCTTCTTAATTCGTCGATTTGACCGTTGAAGACGCTGTTTGTAGCTGGCTTTTGCTCGTTTTTCTCGTTCTTCGCGGTTCAGGAGAATCGTCGAGGTTTTGTTTCGGAATCTGTGGGAGAAAAAGATCGTAAGATCCTTTTTCTCTTGGTTTTTTCTTAGATTTGAAATATGATGTTTCGGTAAATTCAACTCGAAGAATCTTTTTCGCTTGTCGATTGTAATTTTGACGGGGTTTTGGTTAAAGTAATCAATTTTAGGAAAATGCCTACTTTTCCTTGTTAATAGCTTCAATATTGCTCTTTGATTTTGCGAAGAACTGCAATACGTTGAACTCGTGAGCTTGAAATTGGACAATATTTTTTTTTGGGGTTGTTTCTTCAATCAAAGGGGTTTAGGGTTTTACGAGATCTCTCCGCCGTTCACCTCGCCGTAACTGTAATTTCCGCCGCCGCCATCGCTGTCTTCGGTCTTCTCCTGTAAGCTCTCGGTCCTTTGGAGACTATGGAAGAAGTTCAGGTTCAGCCTCCTGTCACTCCATCCATCGAGGCCAGAGGGAAAGCGAGTGAAATGGATGTCACTGAAGCATCTTTCATGGACTTATGCGAGGTATATAAATATAATGTCTTCAATGTTCTAAACTGTATGAGAGGTCGTTGATTGTCTAGACGAATTGAAAATTGTAGTTTTGAGACTTGGAGGTGATGCTTTATTGCAGAAAGGACTATCTATTGAGGGGATCAAGCGCAGTGAAGCTTTGAAACTGTTCAAAGAAACCAAACAGATTTTATCAGCAAATACTTCTAGCATTGGAAGCGGAACGGTGAAATATATTTGTTCTGTTTTCTCGTGCTTTATTGGTTAATGGTGGGCGAGTACGAGTAACGAGCTTCTTTTCTTGTCAGGCGGAAGAAGCAGAGAGGTTCTGGTTTGCATTTATCTTGTATTCCGTGAAAAGTCTAAGCGAGCGGAAAGAAGAAAACCTTCAGGGCGTGTCTAGTGATAATGGCCTTAATTTATGTCAAATATTGAGGGTTCTAAAGCTAAAGTGCGTAATTACCAATTCAGTCCATTGTTCTTTATCTCCGTTCTTTGACTCAGTAGTGGAATCCGTTTCTCCTTCCTTTGTGTTTTCAGCATTGTGGATTTCTTTAAGGAGTTACCTCAGTTTGTGGTGAAGGCTGGCCCTGTCTTGCGTGAACTCTATGGAACAGACTGGGAAAACAGACTTCAGGTACCGATTTATGTGTTTTAATATGCTTTTGGTTTCAAGCCATTGGTTTTTGCACCTGTCTCTCACATCTTTTGTTGCTTTTTGCTAATTTCATATATTAGGCGAAGGAGTTGCAGGCAAACTTTGTGCATCTTAGCCTTCTAAGCAAGTGGGTCTAGCTTCTTTAGTTGACACTCCTTTGTCATTTTTGTGTTTCTAATAACTGATACAGAGAAAGAGTTCTGTTCGTCTTTACATTAAGCAGTATTCTATCTGCTTTTCAGTAATTAACTATTAGAAATCTCAGATGCCTGTCATCATGTTAAAATCTTCTGTGATTTTTTTTATGATTAATGTGACTTCTTTTGTTGGCCATGTCTTGATTACAGATACTATAAGCGTGCATATCGGGAATTCTTCTTGACAAATGACACTAATGTGGAAAAGGATTTGAATTGTGAAGCTTCTGTTAGCCATGTGTCTGACTATTACCGTTTCGGATGGCTATTATTTTTGGCACTCCGAATCCATGCATTCAGCCGTTTTAAGGACCTCGTGACTTGTACAAATGGCTTAGTCGCTATATTGGTTAGTGAATACCTATGGAGTTTTCCCTAATCTTTCATTCATCTCCTTGCCTATATACTAAATTAATTGAAAATAATGAAGTGATCATGTGTATAGGCTAACTTTTCTTTGTTGTTGGCTTTTGTTGTCAGGCTATTTTGATTATACACGTACCTCGTCAGTTTAGGAATTTCAACCTCCAAGACTCTCGACGCTTTGGTAAGTGTTTTCCGATTCTAAGTTCAATTGAATGACTTACCATGATGACATGCACAATGTTTATCCACTATTCTTGTTTTATTGATATGTCGCAGTTAAGAAAGATGGCAAAGGCATAGATCTGCTTGCTTCACTTTGCAACATCTATGACACGTCAGAAGATGAATTGAAGATAACAATGGAGAAAGCAAATAATCTTATTGAAACAATATTGAAGAAAAAGCCTTCTCTAGCATCCAAGTGTCAAACTGACAAATTAGAGAATATTGACCCAGGTTTTTCTTTTTCTTTTCATCCCTCACGACCTAGATTTATCTTTGATAATCTTTTATTCACAGTTGTATGAATTTTCTGTACCATCATCTATTTTTTTTCTTTCTGAAATTGGGTTTTCAATGGCAGATGGCTTAGCCTACTTTGAAGATTTATTGGATGAGACATCCATCTCAAGTAGTTTAAGTACGTTAGAAAAAGATTATGATGATGCAATTTGTAACAAAGGTGAACTTGATGAGAGGATGTTCATCAATGAAGAGGATAGCCTACTTGGTTCAGGAAGCTTATCTGGAGGAGCTGTAAATATGACTGGTGTCAAGGTAAGCGCCATAGAATATTTCCTTCCCTTTTTTTTTTTGCTTGGGCAGAGGTCAGTATTACCATGTTTTTGTAATTTCTGCAGCGGAAAATTGAATTGTTGGGTTCACCTGCAAGGACAGTCACAAGCCCACTCTCTCCTCTCCGGTCACCCTCTACTTCTATAACAAATGGTGTTAGTAATAACAACAAGACAATAGCAACTCCGGTGAGTACAGCAATGACAACTGCAAAGTGGCTCCGGACTGTTATATGCCCACTTCCATCAAAACCTTCTCCCGAGTTGGAACATTTCCTTAAATCATGTGACAAAGATATAACAAATGATGTCACGCGGAGGGCACATATAATATTGGAGGCTATATTTCCAAATAGTTCCCTTGGTGATCGGTGCACAGGTGGAAGCCTACAAAGTGTTAACCTGATGGATGACATATGGATAGAGCAAAGGAGATCAGAAGCCCTCAAGTTATACTATCGGGTTCTTGAAGCGATGTGTAAAGCAGAAGCTCAACTTTTGCATGCAAGCAATTTAACCTCTTTATTGACGAATGAGAGATTTCATCGATGCATGCTTGCATGCTCAGCTGAATTGGTTCTAGCAACCCACAAGACAATAACAATGTTGTTCCCTGCTGTCCTGGAGAGGACTGGCATCACAGCTTTTGATCTCAGCAAAGTGATAGAGAGTTTCATCAGACATGAAGATTCTCTTCCCAGAGAGTTGAGACGACACTTGAACTCATTGGAGGAACGGCTCCTAGAAAGTATGGTGTGGGAAAAGGGTTCGTCAATGTACAACTCTCTGATTGTTGCTAGACCACCTCTTTCATCAGAGATCAATCGCCTGGGACTATTAGCTGAACCAATGCCCTCTCTAGACGCAATTGCTGCACTTATTAACTTCTCCGGAGGATCATCTCCTGCTTCTGCTGTCCCAAAGCATGAACTTTGCCCAGGTAAATTTCTTTCAGTTTTTTGTAAAGTAATGGTTTTCTGTGTAAAGATCTTGCCAAAACTTTTTATAATTGTCTCACAGGACAAAATGTGGATGTTAGATCACCTAAAAGGCTCTGCAGTGAATACCAGAGTGTTTTGGTGGAACGCAATTCCTTTACATCGCCAATTAAGGATCGTCTATTGACACTTGGAAACCTTAAATCAAAGATGCTGCCACCTCCTCTGCAGTCTGCCTTTGCCAGGTATTAGTTTTTGTTGATTATGGTCGGAAGGCCGAGTTCTTCACTATTCCTGACTTGTTATCTCCCTCCATTTACTTGTTGAAATTACCTTTTTCTACTTCATCTACAGTCCAACACGGCCAAACCCAGGTGGTGGAGGAGAAACCTGTGCTGAAACTGGGATCAACATTTTCTTCACAAAGGTACTAGAAATCAAATCAATCCAGATTCGTTTCAGCATAGCTTTTAGTAAAAGATTAAGCATAAATGTAGCGTATAAATATGATTAGATAATTTGCTCTTTCAGTATATGCATATTGTGATACATTCATGGTTACTCTTGATGGTTCTTCCCAGATCAATAAATTGGCTGCTGTGAGAATCAATGGGATGATTGAAAGGCTACAGCTTTCTCAGCAAATGAGGGAGAGTGTATATTGTCTCTTTCAGCGAGTACTTAGTCAACAGACTTCTCTTTTCTTCAATCGGCATATCGACCAGATAATCCTTTGTTGCTTCTACGGAATGGCCAAGGTTCGTTGAGAGTGTGATTCAAGGTTTTACTCTAATGCTTTTCTAGTTTATGCTCTCCTTTCACTTGCAACTATTTATGAACCGTTTGCAGATATCCCAAATGAGCCTCACTTTTAGGGAAATAATATACAACTACCGGAAGCAACCCCAATGCAAGCCACAGGTTTTCCGCAGCGTTTTTGTTGATTCACGACAAGGACGCCGACCTGGGGTATACCTAGAAAACCTTCTTAGACCAAAACAATGTCGTTTACTGTGTGGAGAAGACTTAAGTTGTTTCAATATCCGATTTCACAGAGAGTGGGAGGATCAGATCATGTTGATATCATCACATTTTACAACGAGGTGTTTATTCCTGCTGTAA